AAGATATAACAATTGTAAATATTTATGCACCCAACATAGGAGCACCTCAATACATAAGGCAAATACTAGCAGCCATAAAAGGGGAAATCGACAGTAACACATTCATAGTAGGGGACTTCAACACCCCACTTTCACCAATGGACAGATCATCCAAAATGAAAATAAATAAGGAAATACAAGCTTTAAATGATACATTAAACAAGATGGACTTAATTGATATTTATAGGACATTCCATCCAAAAACAACAGAATACACATTTTTCTCAGGTGCTCATGGAACATTCTCAGGGATGGTTCATATCCTGGGTCACAAACCAAGCCTTGGTAAATTTAAGAAAATTGAAATTGTATCAAGTATCTTTTCCGACCACAACGCCATGAGACTAGATATCAATTACAGGAAAAGATCTGTAAAACATACAAACACATGGAGGCTAAACAATACACTACATAATAACGAAGTGATCACTGAAGAAATCAAAGAGGAAATAAAAAAATACCCAGAAACAAATGACAATGGAGACATGACGACCCAAAATCTATTGGATGCAGCAAAAGCAGTTCTAAGAGGGAAGTTTAGAGCAATACAATCCTACCTTAAAAAACAGGAAACATCTCGAATAAACAACCTAACCTTGCATCTAAAGCAATTACAGAAACAAGAACAAAAAAACCCCAAAGTCAGCAGAAGGAAAGAAATCATAAAAATCAGGTCAGAAATAAATGAAAAAGAAATGAAGGAAACGATAGCAAAGATCAATAAAACTAAAAGCTGGTTCTTTGAGAAGATAAACAAAATTGATAAACCATTAGCCAGACTCATCAAGAAAAAGGAGAAGACTCAAATCAATAGAATCAGAAATGAAAAAGGAGAAGTAACAACTGACACTGCAGAAATACAGAAGATCATGAGAGATTACTACAAGCAACTCTATGCCAATAAAATGGACAACCTGGAAGAAATGGACAAATTCTCAGAAAGGCACAACCTGCCAAGACTGAATCAAGAAGAAATAGAAAATATGAACAGGCCAATCACAAGCACTGAAATTGAAACTGATTAAAAATCTCCCAACAAACAAAAGCCCAGGACCAGATGGCTTCACAGGTGAATTCTATCAAACATTTAGAGAAGAGCTAACACCTATCCTTCTCAAACTCTTCCAAAATATAGCAGAGGGAGGAACACTCCCAAACTCATTCTACAAGGCCACCATCACCCTGATACCAAAAACAGACAAGGATGTCACAAAGAAAGAAAACTACAGGCCAATATCATTGATGAACACAGATGCAAAAATCCTCAACAAAATACTAGCAAACAGAATCCAACAGCACATTAAACGGATCGTACACCGTGATCAAGTGGGGTTTATTCCAGGAATGCAATGATTCTTCAATATATGCAAATCAATCAATGTGATACACCATATTAACAAATTGAAGGAGAAAAACCATATGACCAACTCAACAGATGCAGAGAAAGCTTTTGACAAAATTCAACACCCATTTATGATAAAAACCCTGCAGAAAGTAGGTGTAGAGGGAACTTTCCTCAATATAATAAAGGCCGTATATGACAAGCCCACAGCCAACATCATCCTCAATGGCGAAAAACTGAAAGCATTTCCACTAAGGTCAGGAACAAGACAAGGTTGCCCACTCTCACCACTCTTATTCAACATAGTTTTGGAAGTTTTAGCCACAGCAATCAGAGAAGAAAAGGAAATAAAAGGAATCCAAATCGGAAAAGAAGAAGTAAAGCTGTCACTGTTTGCAGATGACATGATACTATACATAGAGAATCCTAAAGATGCTACCAGAAAACTACTAGAGCTAATCAATGAATTTGGTAAAGTAGCAGGATACAAAATTAATGCACAGAAATCTCTGGCATTCCTATATACTAACGATGAAAAATCTGAAAGTGAAATCAAGAAAACACTCCCATTTACCATTGCAACAAAAAGAATAAAATATCTAGGAATAAACCTACCTAAGGAGACAAAAGACCTGTATGCAGAAAATTATAAGACACTGATGAAAGAAATTAAAGATGATACAAACAGATGGAGAGATATACCATGTTCTTGGATTGGAAGAATCAACATTGTGAAAATGACTCTACTTCCCAAAGCAATCTATAGATTCAATGCAATCCCTATCAAACTACCACTGGCATTTTTCACAGAACTAGAACAAAAAATTTCACAATTTGTATGGAAACACAAAAGACCCCGAATAGCCAAAGCAATCTTGAGAACAAAAAATGGAGCTGGAGGAATCAGGCTGCCTGACTTCAGACTATACTACAAAGCTACAGTAATCAAGACAGTATGGTACTGGCACAAAAACAGAAAGATAGATCAATGGAATAGGATAGAAAGCCCAGAGATAAACCCATGCACATATGGTCACCTTATCTTTGATAAAGGTGGCAGGAATATACAGTGGAGAAAGGACAGCCCCTTCAATAAGTGGTGCTGGGAAAACTGGACAGGTACATGTAAAAGTATGAGATTAGATCACTCCCTAACACCATACACAAAAATAAGCTCAAAATGGATTAAAGACCTAAATGTAAGGCCAGAAACTATCAAACTCTTAGAGGAAAACATAGGCAGAACACTCTATGACATAAATCACAGCAAGATCCTTCTTGACCCATCTCCTAGAGTAATGGAGATAAAAACAAAAATAAACAAATGGGACCTAATGAAACTTCAAAGCTTTTGCACAGCAAAGGAAACCATAAACAAGACCAAAAGACAGCCCTCAGAATGGGAGAAAATATTTGCAAATGAATCAACTGACAAAGGATTAATCTCTAAAATTTACAGGCAGCTCATGCAGCTCAATAACAAAAAAATAAACAACCCAATCCAAAAATGGGCAGAAGACCTAAATAGACATTTCTCCAAAGAAGATATACAGACTGCCAACAAACACATGAAAGAATGCTCAACATCATTAATCATTAGAGAAATGCAAATCAAAACTACAATGAGATATCATCTCACACCAGTCAGAATGGCCATCATCAAAAAATCTAGAAACAATAAATGCTGGAGAGGGTGTGGAGAAAAGGGAACACTCTTGCACTGCTGGTGGGAATGTGAATTGGTTCAGCCACTATGGAGAACAGTATGGAGGTTCCTTAAAAAACTACAAATAGAACTACCATATGACCCAGCAATCCCACTACTAGGTATATACCCTGAGGAAACCAGAATTCAGAAAGAGTCATGTACCAAAATGTTCATTGCAGCTCTATTTACAATAGCCCGGAGATGGAAACAACCTAAGTGCCCGTCGTCGGATGAATGGATAAAGAAGATGTGGCACATATATACAATGGAATATTACTCAGCCATAAAAAGAAACGAAATTGAGCTATTTGTAATGAGGTGGATAGACCTAGAGTCTGTCATACAGAGTGAAGTAAGTCAGAAAGAGAAAGACAAATACTGTATGCTAACACATATATATGGAATTTAAGAAAAAAAAATGTCATGAAGAACCTAGGGGTAAGACAGGAATAAAGACACAGACCTACTAGAGAATGGACTTGAGGATATGGGGAGGGGGAAGGGTAAGCTGTGACAAAGCAAGAAAAAAAAAAAAAAAAACCCCAAAAGTACATCCAACAAAAGAAAGAAGATGAATTGCACGTGATCAATTTTTAAAACTTTTGTGCTTCAAAGGACATCATCAAAAAAGTGAAAAGACAACCCTTGGAACGGGAAATATTCTGCAAGTCATATGTCTGTTAAGGGTCTTGTACATAGACTATATAAAAATTCATACAACTAGAGAATTTTTTAATTGTAACGGGTAATGGATATTAATAGACATTTCTTCAAAGAAGTTATACAAATGGCCAATAAGCACATGATAAGATGCTCAACATCACCACTAATCAGGGAAATGCAAATCAAAATCACAACGAGATACCACTTCTATATTAGCCACGTCTTTTATTTCCTGTATTCTGATGCTTTGACATCTGGGGACTTGCTGACCCCCAGAGACACAGCACCCACCACCGCGGGGTTAGCTAATTCCTAGAGATAGGAAACAACTCACTTGCTAGAACGCTGTATATATGCAAACCATCCAGTCTAGAGCCCATACCCCCAAACACCTTCTTTATGGGGCCCTCACTCTCTGACTACCATCTGTATACCCTGATCACCGAAGCCAGGTACCAGAAAACTGGGGACAGTTCCTATGCCCCAGAGCCTGCTGAAATTATCCAAACTAGTCCATCCTAAACCTGCTTATTACTCTGCATGGCCCAGTCCTTCCTGCAGACACCACAAAAAAGGCTCTTGCCCACACTTCCCCCCTACTTCCTTTGCCTCCTTGACCCTGGTGCTTCCTCATGTGGCTTTGGGCCATGCCTCCTGCTTCTAGGGATCTGTGAGTATAATAAACTTCCTTCACAACATTTTCATGTCTGGGTGTCTTACCATACCTGATTAAAACAAATCCCAGGTACCCATAAAACAACTTCACACCCACTGGGATGGCTATAATCAAAAAGACAGATGATAACAAGTGTCAGAGAGGATGTGGAGAAACTGTAACCCTCATACACTGCTCATGGAAATGTAAAAGAACGTAGCCATTTGGGGAAAATGCTTGGTAGCTTCTCAAATGGCTAAACATTTCCACCCACATTATTTATGCCCTAAGACCCATCATATTACACCCACTGCTATTCAATTAAGCCTCATACTCTACTGTGTAGTCTACACATAAAAAGTTACAGAAATTCCAATGCTTGTTGTGCACAAAGGCTTTAAAGAAAAAAATATAATGAGCTATAAATTCACTATTTTGAGCAAACAGATATTCTAAACCAAATATGCTATTGGTGGTTAAATTTCCAGTCTATGAAAAATGGTGAGAAATAATCATTAAACTATCTAACAAACCAATTATATTTTCAAACACAATTATTTACCATTACTGTAAAAAATTAAGTAGCTCTATACCTTTTTCTCCTTAGACTTCTGTGCAGCATGAGAAGTGACATTCTCATTTTGGTGAACAAACTCTTGTGCTACCACTGTTTTTACAGGGTCTCCTTCAAGAACACAATTTAGAAATTGCACTGTATGTTCTAATGAATAGCTGTAGAGAGTTGAAGTACAAATATGAGGTCAATAAATGAAAATAAAAGTTATGTGGAAACATTAACATAACCAATCTTACAAAATCTTAGAAGAATATGAAAAATTGGCTCACTTCTGAGTTTTAAACATGAAAATTAAATGCTCATTGTGTATCTCAAGACTCAAGAATGAACAGAGGGAAAGTGTCAAGTTAGAGGCTCTCAAAAACTAATTTTTTAAATGAATACCGAAAAGTAACATATTGATAATTAATTCATTTTCTTATCTTTTATTCCAGGTAAAATTTCCACAAATCTTTCTTTCATCTTATCACCTATACTTAAGTCCCTTGTTGGATTCACACATGGTTTCAGTTTCCTTCAAACATCAAAAACAGACAATAAATCCTTAAACTGACATTTTTATCCTGTCAAATTTTACATTTTACTTATACCATGGCGTTCTAGTCAAAGAAATTCTAAGCAGGGATATAGAAAGGAAAAACTAAAACACTACCCTACCTCCCACCCCTACATTATTTAGGCATATTTTCATGGTGATACTATATTATGTGGAATATGAAATTCTACAAAAATTGACAAACATTTGAAACGCTAATGTCCCCGTATCCAAAGAAACTCATTCCAAAGCAAAATATAAATGATTTTATACTGCTCATTATTTCAGACTATTTATGCCTCTGATCTTTTCCAATGGCCAGATAATGAAGAGCTGACCACAAAGGACTGTTTTTGAAATGTGACAGCTATCTAAAAAAAAGCAGGACTCTTTCAGGCTGCATTCTTATACCCCAACACAACAAAACACACAGTAATCCCCCCGCTCCACCAAACTATCAAACCATTTAGAAAATATAAAACTCTTGGATAAATTAGAAAGTCAAAGTGAATTAGAGATTATTTAGGAAAAAAATGAAAATACTACATATCAAAATCAAAACATTACATATCTATCAAAAACATTATACAGAAAAAAATTCACACCCTTAAGTATATTTGTTATTAAAGACTGAAAGGAAACAAACTAACCAAAGAATTGAAAACATAACAAATTTAAAGAGAAAGGAACCATCAAAAATAGAAAAGAATCACCAAAAATAAATGATTAGAGAAATAAAACAGACTTTGATCAATAAACCAAGAGCCTGTTCTTTAAAAGGGTCAATCTGATAAACAGCAATAACAAAGAAAATAGAAAAAAAAACATTAGGAAAGGAAAAAAGGACATGATAAATACAAAATAATGTTTTTAATTATCACAGAATATTATATACAACTTAACAATAATAAACCTGATGATTTTCTAGAAGACAAACTACCAGAAAAGACTCATGGAAAAAAAGCAAACATCTGGGCTTCCCTGGTGGCGCAGTGGTTGAGAGTCCGCCTGCCGATGCAGGGGACACGGGTTCGTGCCCCAGTCTGGGAAGATCCCATGTCCCGTGGAGCGGCTGGGCCCGTAAGCCATGGCCGCTGAGCCTGCGCGTCCGGAGCCTGTGCTCCACAACGGGAGAGGCCACAACAGTGAGAGGCCCGCGTACCGCAAAAAAAAAAAAAAAAAAAAAGCAAACAGCTGAATAAAGCAATACCCCTAAAAAGATAGTGAAAAGACCTTCTCCCTAAAGAAAAGCGAAGAGACCTTCCCCCTAAAAAGGCACAACCCCAGAACCTTCAAGGTACTAATTTATTTAAACTTTCCAGAGCACAGAGAAAATGGCAGTCTTGCCAGGTTCTTTTATTAAGCCAAACACCAAATTAAACCCTAAAACCAAAATCTGACAAAGATAACACAGGAACAGAATATCACAGACTTATCTCATTTAACTACTGTTGCAAAAATCCTGAAATCAATTCCAACACTACTTTAAAGGAAAAAAACAAAACCTGAAAGATTTTTTTATTCCAGAAATTACTGTGACTAACATGAAATATACTAATAAAATAAAGAAAAAAATCTATATTGGATTCTCCAAAGATTCTAAAAAGGCATCTATTTAAAACAACTCTTGCTAAAATAGGAATTTAAGAAATACATTAAGATCGAAAGTATGTATTACTCAAACCAGAAGCATTCCTAACATACTAAGCATCAAAACACACTACAACACCACAATAACTAAAACAAGATGGCAGAAACTTAGGACCAAATAGCTCAATGGAATCAGAGTCTATAAAAGAAAATGTATATTTGAGAATATAGTAAATATTAGTAATTATATTTTATATCAGTGGGTAAAGGTGACCTATTCATCCAGTTAATCATTTGGAGAAAACAATTAAGTTAAACTCTACTTCATACCATACACATAAAAATGCTAGATAAACTTTTTAAATTTAACTATTAAAAATACTGCAGAGGGCTTCCCTGGTGGCGCAGTGGTTGAGAGTCCGCCTGCCGATCCAGGGGATACGGATTCGTGCCCCGGTCTGGGAACATCCCACATGCCGCGGAGCGGCTGGGCCCGTGAGCCATGGCTGCTGAGCCTGTGCGTCTGGAGCCTGTGCTCCACAATGGGAGAGGCCACAACACTTGAGGGGCCCACGTACCGCAAAAAAAAAAAAAAAAAAAAAAAAAAATTTACTGCAGAAAATATTTTCATAATATTGGGGTAGGGCAGATTTTCTTAAAAAGTGATAAAAATCAGAACCAACAAGGGAAAGGACTTTCTGATAAAACATGAATTAAAATATGTATATGGCTATATCAGAAAAAATTACTATAATCTATATTAACAAAGATAACTACACATGATATATAAAGAGCTCTCACAGATCTAGAAAGAAATACAGTCAAAACGAAGACAGGCAAAGGGTAAGCAATTAATAGAAAAAGAAATTAATGGAAAAAGAGCTCAACCTCAGTAGTAATAAGGAAAATAAAAATTTAAACAGCAATGAAATATTTTTCGCACCAGACTGGCAAAAAATTTAAAGATTCTTAATATCCAGGGCAGGTTACGCTATCAGCGCATATAACTAATATGGAAAGCCCTTTTAAAAGGAAATTTGGCATTAGCTGTAAAAAAATTTAATATACACACTCTGGACCAGCAATTTCACTTTTAGGAACTAGCCTACAATAACATTCACCCACGCACACAAAAATGTACGTTCAAGGATACTCAGTGCAACATGGTTTCCAACTTTTCTTACAGTCAAAAAGCCCATAAACAGAGCATGTTTAAATAAACTATGGTACTTTAAGAAATCACTTAAGAATACTATGGACTACTCTGTAGACTTTAAAAAGAAAAGAGTAGATCACAAAGTATGGACAGAAAAAATAAATAACAGTAAAACTACAACATAGTACATAAAACACAACCTATTTTTGTGTTTATATAGACACAAATGCAAATAGGTACACATGTACACACATACATTAGTGTATGTATATGAGAAAAAACTGAGGAGGAATATGAACCAACTGACAGAAACTCCTCACTTTCTACATTATTGCATTTAAATGGTTTATAATATACCTATATTATTTTTGTTAACAGAAAAATAAAAATAGATTAAAATGCATGACATGCTTTCAATGACATCACAACAGAAACTACACACAATCCTTCTAGCACTCACTTGTGGTCCTTGAAAATGTCCACCAGAAAATTTTGGTTAATGGCTGGAAATATCTTAAAGAGCTGCTTCTCCTTTAGTTTAGTGGCACAATCTTTTTCAAATATAAGCGGCTCCCTTCTCTAAAACAAACAAAAAAAAGACAAAAGCCATCTTTATGATGGAATTTACAATACTAGTTATGCTGACCCCAAAGCATGGTTATTTTATTGCAAAAAGACTAATAATTTAAAAGCAGTCACAGACTTTCTTCACTGATTAAAGGCTGAAATTAGTAATATAAGTATTCTTGCATAATTTATTTATATCCCATTTTTTGCTAAGTATTTGAAGCTGTTCATTAACACACACACACATACACACAATCACACATATACTTATATGTGTGTGCATGTGTATATATACTCTCACATATACACACCCAACACATTCAATCATATTATACAAAAAAGGATATAGATATATATATATATGTAAACAGGATATAAATAAATGAAGTCAGAGAGTAGAGAAAATAAAGGTAAGAATATAGGATAAAGCTAGCAAGTAAAATTAGTATATAAATGCATGCCACAAAATCCTGTACAATTGCTAAAGGTGGGCCACAAATTCAGTTCTTAGCTCCTTAGTGGCCAAAGCAAAGGGGGAAACAAAGATTCTCAGTGTCCATAAAATAAAAACAAACCAGTTGCTCAGGAGAAGTACAGCTTTTTCTGGTACTGAGACCTGAGAGAAATTTCTCCCATGGGTCCTCATTAAAGGGACACTGTGTGATGCTGTGAACAACGTCCTCAAAAACATATTCTCCTCAATGGGCAGAAACTACAATGTACAAATAAGTTGCAAATTCAGGTTGACAGAAAATCTTAAAATTCACATAAAAAAATTTTTTTCACAAACATATTTACTCCAAAGTAATTGCATGAGATTTGTTACTAATTGTTATTTTTTCAAAGTCATATTTGGATTGTTTAAATAGCCAAACCGAAAGAGCTTTCCTAAAATGTGCCATGTGAATTCTAATTGAGGAATATGGTAATCATTCTTAAAGTGATTTCTAACTCTGAGACAATTTACTGACATTGTGATTTAACTATGTAATATTTTTGTTTATTCCAAAAATCCTAATGTCTGAAAATAACTTCCTATAAAATTTCAAAGGTGTCTCTGAAAATATAAAAATTACAATAATTTAGGAAAATCCTGGAATAGTTAATGGTTTTGAAGCCTAACCATATTTAGGCCATTTACAACACCAAACAATAATAAAAAAAGAACCACAATAGGTGACAATCTGACCAGTAAAAAGGACTGATCAGACATCACAAGAGTGATGAAAACAAGCCACCTCAAGAATTTTAAATATTCACATCTTATTTAAGATATACATTATAACCCGACCTTACTAAAATATTCAGTGATCAGATTTACTGGCAATCTGCCAGATCACAGAGTTTCTAAACTACAAATTCTAACGTCACACCAATAAACTGAAAACTCATAACCGTAATCATGTTACAATTAATTATCCTATTCATACATCATACCTAATGTTTATTTTATATGCTTTGCTTTAAAAGAATTTAAATGATATTTCTCCTTTGGGGAATTCTCTTACTGAGAAATTTCTCCAGAAATTCTCTTAACTGAGGCTCTAAGGGGGAATACCCTCAGGATGAAGAGTACAGCTTCTATTACCAAACCCATGGGAAAAAAAGCAAAAATCACTGATAGGAGAAAAAAAAAAAATTTAAGTTGGAAAGTTAAAGAAACTTTTTTGTTCATTATTATACTAAGAGATTAAAAGGCAGGTTAGAACCATAAAGATAAGTTTCAGTAGAGGAAAATGGCATTTCAACAAAAAGTGTCACACCATTTGAGCATAAGTTCTAGGCTTTCCTTATTTTATAAGAAAATCTATTTCTCCAAGTTATTACATATGTAAATTGAAGAAGGATATTTGAAACAACATTAAATTACACGATCCTACTGAAGAGATTGTTCTTTGGATTATGTAAACATGCAAAGATGGTAATGGTAGCTTATTTCCAACTTAATTAACAAGATAACTGGGGGAAATAAATATGAAGGTAGAAGAATCCCATCATTCTTTCTATGCCCCAATTCTATGTATTTCAGCCAATATAAAGGTGTTCCTTTGAGCAGTCAAATGAGTGAAAAAAGAGGGTAAAATGCTTTAAGATCACCAACTAAGAAATTTTTTTCCCTTGAGAATTGGACTAAATAACCTCTAAGGTCTTTTCCGTTTTGATTCTGAAATTCTCTAATACTAATTTTCACAATTCCAAAAAAGGTTAAGAAAAAGAAATGCAAAATAAACCAAATTCTCTTAAGGCTTCATACCATATAATTAGATATGTTGAATAAAGAACAAAAATTAAGTTCAAAGCAAACTGAAATATCTGTTTGAACTTGTTTAATTGCAAAGTTAGATAAAAAAGAAGAGTACTTAATTTCAGATTCATAAGTTTCTAAAATTTTTCTCTAAAAAAACTTTGTTTCAAAGATGGACAATTCTTTAACAGCAAGTGTCACTTCTTATTACTAACTTATAAATGAAATTATCTTCAAAGGAAATACTTTCATGTTTTTCTAGAATTAAAAAATTGCAGAAGTAAATGTTAAAGATAAGATATATACACCTGCAAAATTAAATCTAAAACAACAGATTTAACATAAATTGGCTTACTGTTAGAGAATATCAACTAATTTTCCAGAAGCAAAGACCTCCAACTTCAAACTACATTTAAAACATTTTTCAATTTTAACATTAACTTCAATCAGGTTAAAATATGATTTCAGACTTGGAAAAGTAGAATCAAACGAAAATCAAAAAGTAAACATATGATCAAATTAGAGTCAGAGACAAAGGCTTAATATTTATACTAACTCATACCAAATCATGCTTTTCCTGTAAGGCAATTTCTTCTGACATTATTTCTCTGAGTGATACTTTTTTAGTATGAGTGTTCCAATGATCCAATAAGGGTTGCATTTCAGGTGCTGCTAAAGTCTTCAGTAAATTTTTGCCCGTTCTCTGAGATGATTTTTGTTCTGGATTATCAAGACCAACACGCCCAACCAGGGAAGGATCTACAAAAGCAGTATCAATAGTGTCAGACCATCAACAATAAATGTACAAATTAAGCATTATTCATTCTGTCACATCTACCTCAGAGAGACCCAGAAAACATGATTTTTTACTCTTTGCTTATAAATACAATATTCCAAGTTGTATTTCAAAGTTTCAAAATACATCTTCACATAATCGCAAGCAAGTATAAATGTAGAAATATTCAAATGAACAATGATCTGGGTATTACTGTAAATCAACTCAATGCTTCCCCACTCTTTTTCATATCACATCAACACAGAGAAAACAGTGACACACATATACACTGGTAAACAGAGGAAGCTGCAGCCAGCCAGAAGTGAGCAGCTTTGGTCAGCTCTGCTTGGCCACTCCAAGAACTGAAAGGATGAATATTACTGCAAATCTGTAACCCATTGGAGGCCTACAATAAATATTGAACAAATGATATTCAACATAAGGAAGGAACTAAACATTCTAAGAAGTTCATAATAACAAGACTTAATGTATAATATTTCAGCTTTTCTAAGCACTACATTCTGATATACTCCTTTGATTTCCTGGAGAGTGAAGAAATAGCAAATACTGTCATCTGAATAACTCTGATACTCTTTGGGAACTTCTAGCTCTCAAACAGCTTTAGCTCTTGAAGCTACAACACAGGTCTGAACTAAAGTTAAGAATCTTCATTCTCACAATCTTCAACCTGGAGTCCTAGTATGGAGTGGACAAGAGAGGCATCTGGAGGAACTCAGGCACAAAAGGAGGACCCTGTAACAGGTCTGCCACCCTGCACTAACCACTTACGACAATGCTATCTAAGAAATCTTCTGGAATCAATTATTTTCAACTTGGCAGATGTAATCAAAAAGCAGGTTGACTTTTGTGCTCTAATTATATTAACATCAATAAAAAATTTGAAAAACCAAGTAATATTTCAATGATACTTTCAAACAAAGGAATACTTTATTGCTCTCAAACCAGAACAGTTTCCCTTCATTCAGAGCAAAATCATAAACAGGAAACACCCTGACTATGTGCATTAGAGCATACCTTGGGTGTTCCACAGCACTCCTGTTTTTTTTTTTTTAATTGAAATATAGTTGATTTATAATGTTGTGTTAGTTTTCAGGTGCTAACTGAAAGTTAAATGATATTATAGGGGCTTTTTTCTTCTTTAAGCTTTATTTTCTTTTGTATCAATATTAAATGTTAAAACTTTTATTTGCAAATCACAATTCTTGGGTAACATATTTTGTGGAAGTACATTTAAAATGAGTTAAGATTCAGGGACTTCCCTGGCCTGCTCCCAGTGCAGGGGGCCCGGGTTCGATCCCTGGTCAGGCACCTAGATCCTGCATGCTACAACTAAGAGCCTGCATGCCACAACTAAAAGACCCCTCACGCCGCAACTAAAGATCCCGCACACCTCAACAAAGATCCCACACGCGGCAACAAAGATCCCGCATGCTACAACTAAGACTTGGCGTAGCCAAATAAATAAACGCTTAAAAAAAAAAAAAGAATTAAAATTCACACACACACACCAAGTTTCAACATCAAGACAAGAACATTAGAAGTGAAAATATGTGCTTTACCTTGCATTAATTTGCCACAGGATACCTCTTCTTGTCTTTGTCGCTCCTAAACACAGAGGCAGAACAGGATTGGCAAAGCAGGGTGCATTAAAAAACAAGCTTATATTATTTTTCTCTAGTAATCATTTCTCCCTGTAAAACTATCAATCATTCTTGCTAAATCTAATAAAAGCAGATAAATATAATTATAAATTGATTCCATCAATATATTTTTTCTACTTATAGAGCTCTTATGCTGTGATTTTTTTAAAAACTGTTTATGAAAATTAGCACTGCAAGTCTTTAAGGAGTAAAAAACTATTTATGATTTTTTTCCATAAAAAAAAAAATCAACAGTCATATTGAGCTCCATCATTAATTATATAATTTGGCCAGTCTGGAAATAATCTAAAATACTGGAAGGAGAAAAAAAAAATCAGTAACCTGTTAACTGGTAAAATTAATTATCTCTCAAAGTCAAAATTCAATAGAATCTTTCATATAACAGATTTTATTGAAGAGCAAAGGTGACAAAATGTACACAAAAGCTTTCTATAAAAAGAAGCCTACCAACCATTACAGATTCTTTCCATTTTTCATGAATCACTTTAGCCAGATTCAGATCTATATGAACCACACAGTCCTCAACTGTTAGGGACCCTTGTGACGGGGGGGGAAGAAAAGAAAAGAAAATATGATCATTACTCATTATACATTTGCAGAAAACATACTCAACTACCTTATGCATCATAAAACTAATTTGTATTTTTAATTACTAACCTATGTCTCTAGTTCTAAATCTCTTGGAATATTTTTATGTAATATGTCATTGTTTTCACACTTCTTGGCAGGTACAATTATATTATGTTTCATATATTTAAGTTATTCATGTCCATTATACTAAATATATTTAATATATTCATTTCCATTAGTCAAGACTTTCCAGTAGGCATATTCTAAGGAATTATCTTGCCTTAAGTGTATCTGGAGTAGCACCAAAGGATTCAAAAAGATGTATCTGTGCAAATAAGTATGAGATAAATACCAGAGAAAACTTCCAGTATACGCACAAGATGAATACAAAGTCCATCTAAATACTCTCTATTTCTTCAAATTATCTACTTAAAAATCTTCTACAAACACACTGTGCCAAAAATAATAAGGTAGGCAACACAAATTACTTTTACACTTCTAGTAACATAAAATAATTTTAAAATTGAACTAAACCCTCTATCTATATTCTACTTACACAAAGATACACATATAAGTAATTTACCTTTTCCTTACCTGAATCAATACCAACAGGGCCAAATAATTCACTGAGCTGAAAAGCCAGTTCAGGGGGCAATGCCAATTCCAGACAGTCTATGGTCAGCGATTTGGCCATCACTGGCGTGGGATTCAACGTCTCAGTTTTATCTTCTTCAGTAACTTCAGCTGACAAAGCACTCCCTGCCATTAGAATTTTTTCCACTTCCTGTTCATCTTCATTCATCAATTCTTCTGTGTTTGGAAATTTCACATAATCCTTTGGAAGATTTTCACTTTTATTTATGTCAAAAGAGTCAGTAAAATAAATTTCTCCATGTAATTCAAGATCTGAAGTGCCCGATACAGAATTTAAAATATCAGACAAATTCAAAGAAGAATTTATACTGTCTCCAATCTCAGTGACTTCTGGATTCTTCTCCATTTCACTCACATTTTTAGTGGTAGTGGCTTGTAGAGTGCCTGGAAAAAGCTGCTTAACATTATATAAACCTGAAAGTTCTGCCTGACTATAAGGAAGTACTTCATTATTATTCTTGAGATCTACATTAGGAAATATACCTGTTATTAATCCAGGTTTTTCAGTAGTTACAGCTCTTATTTCCGCCTGCTCTAAGTTTTCCTTTTCTGAATTACAGGTGGACTGTACATTAGTGTTACTGATACCAATTCCATGGCTAAATTCTGGCACAGAAGAATTGGACTTCTCTGAGCTCCCTCTTTGGCTAATAATTTCCTTCAAATTCAGTCCCAGAGAAAATGGCCCAATTTGTGTTTCATCAAATGACTTTTCTATATTCTCAAATTCAGTATCCTCACATAATTTAGTTTCAGAATCCAATAAAAGGCTTGTGGCCCAAATAATATCTTTGTTACACCTCTCATATAGGTCTTTTAGGGCTTCTAATGAAAACGATCCAAATAGTTTACAAAGAATGTTAAGATTTTCAGATTCATCAGCACTGGTAAGCTCACTTTCTTCAACATATGTGCTTTTGTCATACATTACCCTATACGGAATTGTTTCTTGAACATCTAATTTTGTGTTAATATTGAAAGCTTTTGGTTTAAATCCATCTAATCTTCCTGTTAATATTCTCAGAGAATCTGAAACACTAATTTTATTCTTTTCTATTTTCCATAAGAGAGCAAAATCCTGTGGTTCAGTCTGAGTACACTTGCCTACTTCTATTCCAGGGACTTCTTCAGTCTTTTCTTCTTGAAATTCAGCTAAAGTTTGTGGTCCCACTCCTCCAGGAGCAGTTGGCACACTATTGGTAAAAGAAAGAGACAATGTGTGCTGCCTATGAATCTTTTTACTTGGGCAAGTTTTATTCTCACAGGTCATTTCATTGGGCAGCATTTCAGAACTTCCTCGAGTAGGACTACCCAACGTTTTTAGTTCTTCAGGGCTTGTGCCCCAATAGGCCTCACGTGCTGTATATAAGGACATTTCATTCATACTGTTGTTAGTTCCAAATTCTAGGTTGGGTTCACTTAAGCCAGCCTTTGGCATTCTTGATCTGTGCTCTCTCTGAGCTAAAGAATCAGATGAAGGCCAGTCACCCACAATGTTAAATGAGTCTTTTTCAGTATTTTTATAAGTACCATATTTACAGCTATTAAAAGATTCTGAGGCATCATCGCACTGTGACTTGCTGTCATCCTCTACGTTTTCATGTGGAGATCCTTGTGGCTGGATACAATCTATACTCACAGATAAACTACTGTCTAATACTTTATGTGACTGAGAGCAATTATACTTTTTGTCACTGTGTATAGATAAAGCTTTTTCAGTTTTTCGGTTCCTTTTTGTCCTCTGGCCGATAGACTTATCAACTGGCCAGTCACCAACAAAAGACAGCTCTTGTCTTGGGAACTTTTCCGAAGTTGATTTGCTTTTTTGTTTTCCAAAGGCTTTTTTCTTTACTCCTGCTCTTTCTTCCAGCGTTTCACTAGATGAAGATTTTTCATTTTGAAGTGGTACAGTATTTGAAAGACCACAGTCTTCTTGATTATTTCCATCACAGCAAATACTTGGTGATATTCTCTCTACAAAACTATCTGCATTGGTTTTACTACACTCTTTTTCAGGAGCCATTTCTACTGGCTCTTCTTTTTCACGTTTGTCTGTTGCTCGTTCTTTGCTTTCAGAATCAGAAAAATAAATGTCTGGAGCTTCCTGAATGAAAGCACTCTGAATGTTAGGATTCATACCACTTATTTCTTTTTTTCCGTTGTTTAAATCTGCATTAGGGAGATATGTAACGTTCTCAGGTAACAAATTTTCTTTGGTCACATCATGTTTCTTCTCTTCAATTAACTCTGGATGCTTCAGAGACGAGGATAAAACATTTTCTTCTTTTTCAGAGGCAATATCTTCATTGTCTCTTGGGCTGTAAGATTTGTTTTTAAGTATTATAAGGAAATCTCTTAATGTTGCCATTAATATTATGATTTAAAGAATCATTCAACTGAAAGAGAGACACCTGATCCTTCCCTAATACACTATGAACACATCGCTTTATTGTAATCCCAACACCTAGCACAACGCTTGGCATACAAGAAGCACTCAGATTTTTTCAAATTGAATAATTAACATGAGATTTTCAGTTAAGGTGTTTATTATGCATTAAATATTAAAGTTAAGGTTCTAAATTTGTTCCCAGAAGAGGACACCTCCCTGGCTCCTTTCCAACCTATTTAAGCTTAACATATGTGAAACTAGGTCTGCCTCTATACCATCTGTCATTTGCTGCAGAGGAAAATGCTTAAGATTGATTTACAAAGTCTCAAAGAGTCAACCAACATGATCTGCACAATTAAGTGAAATGAGAGAAAGGGAGGACAGCTCTCATTTGAGATGTCACTTGCTAAATTTTTTAAAGCCATCCTCGATGTTAATTTCAGGCTCAGAGCACTTTTGCCGAATCATTATACTTTCAACTTCAGTGCATTTTCCTTATTTAACAACTCATCTTCCTTTCTTTCTTTATTGCAGGAGTTCTCAAAGTCCCAACTATCCCATGAAGCCTTCCTAAGTGAAATCACACCTAACATTCAGTTTTCTATATACCAGATGCTATTGTAAGTCCTTTACAAGTATTAATTCATAATCCTTATGAGATCCTTATAAGCAAAGTGTTATTATTGCCATTTTGCAAATGAGGAGCCAGAGTACAGAGAGATTTTATAATTTGTCAAAGATTACAAAGCTTTGGGATTTGAAGCCAGGAAATACAGCTAAGGAGCCCATATTCTTAACCACTTTGCAATACTGCTCCTCAATAAAAGAGCATTTGCGAATTTTCTTTTCCCAACTCCTTTTTAAAAGGGTCTCTCATCCCTAATCATCAATAAATGTGAGCAATTCAGAACTCTATTTATATTTAAGACTCTTCTTTACTCATTTATTTATTCAATTGTTTATGTATCCTAAATGTTTTTAACATAATCAGTAATATCCTGAATTGCAAACTTTCAAAAGGCTGTGACTTGTTATTACTTAGTAAAAAAAGTATACCATGCATAATACATTTTTACGATACTAGCTTGGAAGAGTATTTTTATTAATACCTAAGAAAATTAAGAAGTAATGTGACTATATACAAAATAACAACAGAGCGTAGATAAGGTAACAGATAAATACTGGAATAGCAGCAAGTTAAATAAAGAAGGCAGGAGTATTCATAGTGTAAACATGGACCTACATAAACCAAAAGACAATGAAACCCCCATGTATGTCATCACCCACATAAACTTTTACTTCTCTTGCTAACCATATATATCCTGCTCCAGGTAAGACTATATACCTAAACCCTACAAACAACAAATGCCTACCTTATTTTTAAAGTTATTTGGCAGTGATTTTAGAAGTTCCTAAATTATCAGATTTTGTAAAATTAAGTTTTTAAATTGAATTTCTGTACAGAGAGACTTTAACCTACCTAGTACTTCTGTCACAAAAATATGCACACAACTCGATACGTTCCATTTTCTCTGGAACTGAAGAACTCATGATTATGGGCACTGAAACAAAACGTTGATAGTGTTCCAACATTCTTGTTATTTTTTCTTTGCTTATCCCATGAATATTACGCCTAAAAATTCCAGGGGAAAAAAAGGGTAGAAGGAACACTGGTAATTAAGTTTTTAAAAAATCGGCTCATGTAATGTTAAGATAAACAATGACACATTTCTAATACATAAAAATATCAAAACTGGTTTAATATGACACAATATAAACTATCTGATTCTAAGTTTCATTTTATTCAGAATGTCCTAAATTACCATTTTCTTAGTCATGCCATACAATCTTTTCCAAACATCCTTCATCAACTTGGAAAAAAACAGCAGATCTTAATAACTTTAAGAGAAGTTATTCTCAAGCTCTGCCAAAAAAAATCTCATACGAACATGACCATCATTTCAATTGATTAACTAGTGACTAAAAAAATTCCACTACAGAGGCTTCCACTTATGCCAGTACAGCAGACTATATGTGCCAAAGGACACTCCTATTACAGTAAAACTGGATCCCATACGAATTAAAGCAGACACACACTTTAACACATTTTAAGTTCAAGTAAAGAAAAAACATTCTTAGTATTTGAAGTCTCTGGATGTCCAAATATGAAGTTCGTTATTTTTGTGCTTTCATTCATGGTAGCTTATTCCTTTGTTTTTGTTTATGAGCTCACACTTAGTTGAATCTAATACATGGGAATCCTTAGGCCTTAAACTGGGGTTGCTTTCATTCAAACAGCATCTGAATTTGCATCTGCCAGGAGGCAAGATGGTATGCTTTAGTACTTGAAGGGTCTTGTCTTAATGAAAACATCCCAGTTGAAACTCTCCTATCTCAGGCTGGATCCAACTTTAGTGTCTGGATCCTGGGGCTAATATTAGCATTTGCCCCCTGGAGAAATCTGGCTTTCATATTTAAATACCTCAGTCTTATCTGGTTTAGAGATAGAAAATATCTCTAGAGATAGAAAATATGAAAGAGAGGTTGAGACATAGACATAGAGGACAGAGCAAAGAGGTCTAGTATACATCTAATCCAAGTCCCAGAAAGAGAAGAGAGAGTATGTGGGACAGAAGCAATTTAAAGAAAAATGGCTGAGAATGTTCCAGAACTGATGAAAGACATCAATCTCCTAATCTCACAAATCCAACAAATCTTAAGCAAGATAAATAAGAAATCTACAACTAGAAACACAGTACTGATATTGTCATTCACCAAAGACAGAGATGATATTAAAAGCAACTAGAAATTTAAAAAAAACTAATCCTCTACAAAGAAACCAACTATTAGAATTACACCTGACAACAATAATAATGGACAAATGTCATCAACAATAACGGAAACTATCAATCTAGAATATATACACTCAGCAAAAGTATCTTACAAGAATGAGGACAATAAAAGGATTTTCAGATTAAAAAAAGAAAGAGATTGACATGAAACTGGTCTACAATGTAAAGAAAATCCTAAAAGATGAACTGTCAGGCAGAAGGAAATTCTCAGATGAAAGACCTATAATGAAAGGAAAATTAAGCACAAAGCACTACACACAGCACAAATAACTACACGAGTGAAAACACCATCTGTACATTCCAGACAATCATAGCATGTAAGTTGGAAGGGAGGTAAGTATCAGAGTTAACATGTTTGAAAGTCCTTGCATTCGTGAAGAGGAAAGCTAGGAAAATGGTTTAATTTTAAAGTCTGCATGATAAAACTTTTAATGTAACCACTAAAAGAGTTTAAAAAGTGTATATAATCTCCAAATTAGTAGAGAAGGAAAAAAACGAGTAAGAAAATTTGCATTCAATTAAAAAAATCCAAAAAAGGCAAGACAGGAAGAAAAAAAATCAAATATATAATTTTCTGTGATAGGAGAAAAAACAATCACAGAAAAGGTGAGATTAATAAAAAGTACAGAGAGAGACAGCAAGAAACAAGACCAATTATATGAATACCCAAAATAACTAAAAGAACTAAGCTTAGCAATTAAAAGCCAAAGATAGAGTGAATTTTTTAAAACCCAGCCATACTGGCTATAAGAGATACATCTAAACACAAAGATACGGAAAGGTTGAAAGGAAAAGTATAGAAAAAGAAGTAACACTCAAATACTAACTAAAAGAACTGGTATAGTTCTATCTATATTAGACAAATTAGATTTTATAACAAAAATTAATATTAATAAAAGAAAACTACTAGACAAGGATAAAAGGTTCAATTAGAGTGATATAAAAATCTTAAGCTTATATGTACTTCAAAAAATATCCTCAGTATATTTAAAGCAAAAATGGGCAGAATTATAAGGAAAAACTGACATAATCAACATAATAGAGGGAGATATCAACACCCCTCCCATAATACATTTTCTCATCCCTCTCTTAAACATTAATCCATCAAGCAAAATTTTCTGAAAAGCTACAGATGCGAGCAAAAGAATAAGCATGATTTAATGATATATTAATATACTATAACTATTATACATTCTTATCAAGCAAATATGAACATTTATAAAAAATTGACAATGAACTAGTAAAACACATCTTTAAAAATATCAGAGAATTAGTATCATACAAACCGCACAATCTTACCTACTGCGGTAAAGTTGAAAACCAATTTTTTTGAAAAGATAAATTTTAAAACCATCTGTTCCAAAATTTAAAACTTAGCTCTAAACAACCCAAGGGTTAAACAATTAAAGTAACAGTAATGCAAAATAGAAATAAATGATAAAAAGAAGATATTATATATTAAAATTCTAGGGGCATCTAACATGATACTTAGGGAAATTTATAGCATTAAATGCTCATATTAGAAAATGACCTAGGGCTTCGCTGGTGGCTCAGTGGTTAAGAATCTGCTTTCCAATGCAAGGGACACAGGTTCAAGCCCTGATCCAGGAAGATCCCACACGCCGTGGAGCAACTAAGCCTGTGCATTACAACTACTGAGCCTGTGCTCTAGAGCCTGAGAGCCACAACTACTGAGCCCACATGCCACAACTACTGAAGCCCATGCGCCTAGAGCCCGTGCTCCCCAACAAGAGAAGCCACTGCAATGAGAAGCCCGCGCACCACAACGAAGACTCAATGCAGCCCCCAAAAAAAGAATAAACAAAGCAGAAGAGATTTTTTTAAAGCAAAGAAAGTAGAATAAAAGAAGCAGAAATGAATGAAACATAAAACAAACTTATAATAGGAAGATCAACAAAGCAGAAAGATGTCTATTTGAAAAGGCTAATAAAACATCTGATCTCGGGCTTCCCTGGTGGCACAGTGGTTAAGAATCCGCCTGCTAATGCAGGGGACACAGGTTTGATCCCTGGTCCAGGAAGATCTCACATGCTGCAGAGCAGCTAAGCCTGTGCGCCACAACTACTGAGCCTGCACTCTAGAGCTCGTGAGCCACAACTACTGAGCCCTCGTGCCACAACTACTGAAGCCCGCATGCCTACAGCCCATGCTCTGCAACAAGAGAAACCACAACAATGAGAAGTCTGCGCACCGCAACGAAGAGTAGCCCCCACTTGCTGCAACTAGATAAAGCCCGTGCACAGCAACGAAGACCCAACACAGCCAAAAATACAAACAAAATAAATAGGGCTTCCCTGGTGGCGCAGTGGTTGAGAGTCTGCCTGCCAATGCAGGGGACACGGGTTTGTGCCCTGGTCTGGGAAGATCCCACATGCCGCGGAGCGGCTAGGCCTGTGAGCCATGGCCGCTGAGCCTGCGCGTCCGGAGCCTGTGCTCCACAACAGGAGAGGCCACAGCAGTGAGAGGCCCGCATACCACAAAAAAGAAAAACAAAAACAAATAAATAAATAAATTTATAAAAACAAAAAAATCTGATCTCTGTTAAGAGTAATCAAGAAAAAAAAGAAGATACACATAAACACATTAGGATTTAAAAGTATAGATGCAGCAGAGATGTAAATGGTAAGAGAATACTACAAGAGTTTTAATAAAAAGTGTTTTGTTTTATGTATTTATTTATTTAATTTATATTTTGACTGCGTTGGGTCTTCGTTGCTGCGCGTGGGCTTTCTCTAGCTACGGGGAGTGGGGGCTACTCTTCGTTGCGGTATGCAGGCTTCTCATTGCGGTGGCTTCTCTTGTTGTGGAGCATGGGCTCTAGGCACGTGAACTTCAGTAGTTGTGGCACAAGCGCTCAGTATTTGTGGCTCGCGGGCTCTAGAGCACAGGCTCAGTCGTTGTGGCGCATGGGCTTAGTTGCTCTGCGGCATGTGGGATCTTCCCGGACCAGGGCTTGCACCCGTGTCCCCTGCATTGGCAGGTAGATTCTTAACCATTGCACCACCAGGGGAGTCCCATAAACGGTCTTAATAAATTTGAAAACTTTGGTGTAATGGACAAATTCCAATGGAAACTTCTCACAAAGAAAACAGAGGATCCAGACAGTTTCATAAGTAAATTCTATCAAACATTCAAACTTACATAAACTCAAAAAAGAGAAGAAATACTTCCCAACTAATGTTATGAACCTAAAACCATGATACCAAAACCAGGCAAGACAGGGCAAAGAAGAAAAAACTGTAAGTCAATCTCACTCATTCATACAGATGCAAAAATCCTAAATGAAGTACTAGAAAACCAAATCTAGTAATGTATCTAGTAATGTATCAAAAGGATAATAAAAAGGAATGAAGTACTGATACATGCTCCAACTTGGGGGAAACTTGAAAACATTATGCTAAGTGAAGATGTCAGACACAAAAGGTCACATATTGTATGACCCCATTTATATGAAATGTCTGGAATAGGCAAATTGATAGAGACAGAAAAGCGGATTAGTAGTTGCCAAGGGAAAGGGGAACTGGGAGTGACTAATAGCAAATACAGGGTTTCTTTGTTGAGGTAATGAAAACGTTCGTCAATAAAACAGTGGTGATGCTTGCACAACACTGTGAATATCCTAAAGTTAGGTTGTCCTTTATTTAGTACTGACATTAGTTTAAATTACCATGGAGAAAATAACCTGACCAAAATTAATTTAGGGCTATCTCTAAGGGAATACAGAGCACAAAACAAAATACAGTGTACGTCCATGTCCTGAGTTAACATTTTTATCCAAGTCAAACAATCAAAGAAAAAAGTATAACCTTGGGGGGAAAGCAGAGTGGGTAGTGAAAAACCTGGACAGCTACCTTTTCCATTTATACCTCCTCACTTCTGTCCAGCATTGTGAGTCACTAGGCAGCTACAAGTATTTGTTCCTGCCAGTGGCACACGGTTCAGGTTTGCCAAATCCTAGAATCTCTTCTAGTTTCAGATATTGACATTATATTATTAATAAGTAATAAAGTACTGACTATATAAGACAATTGGAATTTTTCTGTTAATTAACAATTTAGGAACAGAAAGACAAATTCTTCACAAACTGATAAAAGAAAGCCTATAGGCAATACAAAATTTGTTATCAATTTTTAAGTGGCAAAGCCGCAATCTAATACATTTTGTTTCATTCATTATTTACAAGGGGAAAAAAATCTAGATGGACTTTCTATCACTCTCATGAAATTAAAAACACGTTAGATAAACTCCAAGTTTTACCTTGCAAGTTCCTTTGGTTTGAATTTCCACCAGGTATCCGGTTCCCGGAAAAGGACTTTATATTTATGTTTTTGAGACTACATACAAAAAAGACAAATGCATTTTAAAATAATTACTTCCATGAAATTTAATTCATTGTTTCCAAATTCACAGCATGTTAAAACTGAAAGAACCTAAAAGATTATCTAATCTTGATGAGTGTGTTACCTGGTAAAATGCATAGTCTCTTTGATCCAGCAATGAACTTCCAGAAATTTATGCTATTGATAAAAACTTATGTCAGAGTGGAGAAATATATATACAAGAAGATATCCAGTTCGCCATTATTTGTAACAGCAAAAGAATACAAACAACTTAGTGTCTATTAACATGGAACTGGCTAAAGAAATGAAGATACAGCCATACAGTGAAAATATACACAATGGTTTTAAAAATACTATATGTGTTAATGAGAAAATGTTCTTAATATAAATTGTTAAGAAAGTAAGATACAGAATTTTCACTTGAATAAAAAAGGCTTAGTCACACATCTGTATATATATAAAAACTGCTGGAAAGATTCTCAAAAATACTATGAAAAGCACCTACCTCAAGGGGATAGGACTTTAGGCATTCTTTTTTATGTACGACTTTTGTAAGTTTAAAACCATCTTAAATGACAGCTCATTCTATTTTTCAAAACTCTAATATGGCTGTAATCTAAAAGCCAAGCCCTATACTTGTGCACTAGACCCATCTTCTCTATCTCAAGGGTAACTGAGTTCAGCAACTCTCCCCTCTGAGGCATGATTAATTTTTCTCTCCCTGCTGAATCAATCTCATCACATTCAGTTATTTCTCCCATTTTACTCTAACCCCTCATCCCCTGACAGCTATCTCCCCATTTTCCTACTCCCATTGCAGGAAAACGTCTCAAATAATAACTATATTCTGTCTCCAATTCTTCCCCTTCTAGCCTCTCAAACCCACTCCAACTGGCTCCTCCATTGAAACTGGGCATGGAAACCATGAATTACTTCCACGTTGAAAAATGCTACGGTTAATTCTCACTCTCTTGCCTCTCAGCAGCATTTGTCACAGTTCATCACTCTCTTCTTACACTGTTTTCATTACCATTGCTTTTCCTACTCCTCCAGCTGGGTGGGTGTTCTCAGTCTTTTTTGTTAGTCCTTCCCTTTCACCCAGACCTCTTCTCACAATGGAATGGCCCAGACTTAGTCCTTGGTCTTCTACTCTTGATCCACACTCACTTCCTCAGTAATTATCATGCCACTCCTTGGCTTTAAATATCATGCATTAGGTAATGACTCTCAGATATATATTGTTAGCCCAGAATTCGCTCCTGAACTCCAAACCCACAGATCCAATTACCTATTAAACAAACTTAACACAGTCAAACCTAAACTTCTGAAATTCATTACCTCACACCCACCACAAAACTATTCTACCTGAGGACTACCCTGGCAGTCCAGTGGTTAAGACTCTGCAGTTTGATCCCTAGTCAGGGAACTAAGATCCCACACGCTGTGCAGTGTGACCAAAAAAAACAACAAAAAACTATTCTACCTGAATTGAACCCTCTCCATCTCAACTGATGACAACCTCCAGTTACACAAGCCAAAAACCAAGCCTGATGTCACACTTAACGCCTCTCTTTCTTTCACATCCACATCAGTACAAGAAATTCAGTTGGCTCTACTTTAAAAATATATCCAGAATCTAATCTCTACTCACTATCACCTTTACCGCTACCATGTTGGTCTGAATCATGTGATCTTTTACTTTAATTACCACTATAGTCCTCTAACTAGTCTCCCTGCTTCCATTCTTCCCCACTCCTAAGTCTATTCTCAATGCTGCACTACAGTGATCCTTTTAATAGTCAGATCATGTCACTACTCTGCTCAAAACCCTGTTATGAACTGAATGATTGTGTCCTCTCAGATCCCATATGTGGAAACCACCATCCCACCATGTGACTGTGTTTGGAGATAGGACCTTTATAGAAGTAATTAGGGTTAAATGAAGTCAAAAGGTTAGGGCCCTAATCTGTTAAGATTAGTGCCCTCATAAGAAGAGACACCCTGGGGCTCCCCTGGTGGCGCAGTGGTTGAGAGTCCTCCTGCCGATCCAGGGTACATGGGTTTGTGCCCCGGTCCGGGAGGATCCCACATGCCGCGGAGCAGCTGGGCCCATGAGCCATGGCCGCTGAGACTGCGCGTCCGGAGCCTATGCTCCGCAACGGGAGAAAAAAAAAAAAAAAAAAAAAAAGAAGAGACACCGGAGAATTTGCTCTCTCCACCATGTGAGAACACAGCAAGAAAATGGCCACCTGCAAGGGAGGAAGAGAACTCTGACCAGAAACTGACCCTGCTGGACCTTAATCTGGGACGTCTAGCCTCCAGAACTATGAGAAAATTAATTTCCTCTTGTTGAAGCTACCCAGTCTATGGTATTTTTTTTATGGCAGCCTGAGCAGACTAATGTATCTTCCACGTCACCCAAGGTAAAATCCAAAGTCCTCACAGTGATCTATGTATGAGCCCTTACATAATCTGCCCTACCATCTCCCCAACCACCATTACATCTCTGACCTCATCTCCCACTATTGATCCTCTCAGCTTTATGACAAGATGCCAAGAGTGTTCATTGCTATTTTCTGTCATTCTGACAGAAAAGTCCAAAATTCAACCCAGACACCAAGGTAGGTAGTGACATAACACCCTGTAATGAGCTTACTCACTTCCATCTCCTCACCTCAGCACCAAATTTCATACAAATGATTCAAGGCCTGGCAATAGCCCAGATCTCTAATTACCTAAATGGGTATCATACAGCTGTTAGGATCAAATTAATTTTAAATGCACGCATACACAAAGAGAAAAAGACTATGAATTTAAAGACTTTTTCAACTCCCATATCAATAGGCAAATCTTAATAATATGTTACATTACTTAAGAGGATTCTGACTTAGGTCAACCTCTACGATAGCCCACAAGGAACGATATTGCTTTGCCATATATATACATACATACATACATACACACACACATACACACACACACGTTTTGCCAATTGCCACTAAGCATATTTGACTGTTCCCTATTTATCTCTTACTACTTTAGCTACTTTTGTAAATGACAGTCAAGATGGTAATAGACTGTTTATTCCACTCCCCTACAGCTTTCATTATCTTACTACCAAAAGAAGCAAAAAGTGATCCTCTTCTCTACAGTAATTCCTACATCTACTTCTTTATGAAGACAAAAGCATTTGGCATCTATGATAAACAGGAGTCCTTTATACTTCTAAGTAGAGTTGCAAAAAGTCAAGGAATCAATACTGGAAAAATAGCTTCATATTTTCCATCATTATATAATAAAAAAGGGGAAAGAAAACATTATAGAAGGCTGAAGCCTAAATGAAAATCAGAAACACATAATTCAAGGACTTCTTTGTTTTCTACAAAGGAAAGTAAAGTGTTTTTTTTTTCCTGTTTTCATAGGAAAATAAAGAACTTTCTAAGATGAGAGCAGGAAGCTAAGAAAAACCTACAGAGGAGTCAAGTAAGGTTAAGGGGGAAGCAGGTCCCAGTGGTGAATATATTAGTCTAGAAACTAGAAACTCCTAAGGCCACAAAGCAAACTGAATTTCAGCTCCCAATGCACTAAAAGCAGGTCTTTGTTCCCTCTACTGCCCTGCACAGAAGTAAAATCTCACTTGTTCAAAGGACACAATTTTCTTCAGAAAAGTAAAGAATCATACCTTGTACTTCAAAACAGTACAAGTGCACTGGGCACAGAAATGGGGTATAAGTTAGATGTGTTAAGAACATAAATCAGCAAGTACAATATTCACTAACTAAAGAAACAAACTGAGCTTCAATGTGCCAGATGTGCTAATCTTGGGGTAATAAAACAAACAATACCCATACTCACAAAAGCTTCACTCATCAATTTACTCAATGAATATATATTAATTATATGCCAAGCATAGTGCTATATCCTGGAGATTCAACGATGAAAAAAAATGATAGGCTTACCCTCAAGAAAAATGGATAGCTTAGAGCTAAATTCAGCCCATCAGCCAGTATTTGTACAGCCTAGGAGTTAAGAATAGTTTTTGTGTGTGTGTGTGTTTTTATCTTTAAAAGGTTGTTAAAAGAGAATATGCAACAGAAACTGGCCTGCAAAACCTAAAATATTTACTATCTGGTGCTTTCTAGAAAAAAGTTAGTCAACCCATGGCCTACTGATAAAAACAGTGTGCTTAATACTATGACAGAAGTAAGCCAGGGTGCCAGGAAAGCAGAAAGAGTGCCCAATTCAGCTTTTTAGTAAGTGAATGAAAGCTAACTTCCTGAAAAAGCTGACATCAAAGCTGGACAAAAAAGGAATCCAGCAAATCTGGAGAACTGAAAATAGCTGAATGTACAGAATTTTGAATTTCTCAGAATAGCAAAATTTCAAAATAAATTTGGGAACTAAGAAAGAACCAGCAAATTTTGATTCTGCCAAGTAAAAGCAATAAGAAAATGGTTGTGTGTGTGTGTAGACACACACATACATACACATAAATACACACAAACATAAAATTATAATTTAATACCACTATCTTTTCATAAAAGACATCAAAAAACAAAAACAATCTCAGAATTTAAAAACTGAATCTCAAAATTTGAAAACTGAATAAATTTAGTTTTATAGAAAAACTATTCCTATTTTTCTCATTTTGCTAAAGACCAGAGAAAGCTCAGTTACATACAGTCCAAGGACTGTTTGCTTGACATTCACTTGTGTAATTAACATCCCCCAATAATTTCAAACCCACTATTAGACTTATGACAATTCATGGTACAAACCAAAGCAACATATGGCTTCATTTCCCATGCCTGTAGATTTGTATTATCTATTATTATAGGAGATACCTTCTTCTCAAATGCTTCTTTTGCTGAAATACAAACAGAAAATGAGAAATCACTTTTAGTAGCAATATTAAGGATTATCTTGATATTTAAAAAATCTGATCTTGTTTTCATAATTTGAAAATCATAGATATGTGCTAATTTTATTCACAACTCTACTTCTAAATACTACTTTTGAATATATAAAAAATTAAAACATAGGGAAATGTTGAATAATAAACACTAAAATTATAATCAGAGAAATCAAATAAAAACTGTCTGATTTTAGTTTGACGTGCATGTTACATGTATAAATAGCATAAATGGGGAAAAAAGCTATCATTAAAAACAATATCATACCATGCTAAAAGCAACATGGTATCCTGGATAAGATTCTGGATACCATGAATCCGGAATCTGGATTCTGGAACAGAAAAGGACTTTTGTAGAAAAACTAAAATCCAAGTAAAATCTGGAGTTTAGTTAGTAGTAATGTACCAATGTTAATTTTAATTTCTTAGTCTTGACAAATGTACCATAGTTATATAAAATGTTAACATTAGGGCCAAATGGGTGAGGGGTATAGAGAAACTCAATACTGCCTTTGCAAACCTTTCCATAAACCTAAAATTATTCCAAAATAAAGTTTAAAAACAAAAAATATAGGCAAACACACATACACGTGACAAAAAACAAGATGTCTTGATTTGAAATAAACAATTATTATATGCCTTGTGCAAGAGATTTTCTTATAAAACTGCCTTTTTCCCCAAGGAATTAGACCATTCAGGGAATTAATGATGAGCCACAATAAATAAGCCTTACAAGGAAAATATTTGGAAGTTTTAGAAGTTCTGTATACTCTCTTATAACTCAATAATAAAAAGACAAATAATTCAATTTAAAAATGGCAAGGGCTTCCCTGGTGGCGCAGTGGTTGAGAGTCCGCCTGCCGATGCAGGGGGCACGGGTTCGTGCCCCGGTCTGGGAAGATCCCACATGCCGCAGAGCAGCTGGGCCCGTGAGCCATGGCCGCTGAGCCTGCGCGTCTGGAGCCTGTGCTCCGCAACGGGAGAGGCCACAACAGTGAGAGGCCCGCGTACCGCAAAAAAAAAAAAAAAAAAAAAGGCAAAAGATTTGAACAGAAAGCTCTCCAAAGGAGATAAACAAGTAGCCAACAAGCACACAAAAAGATGCTCAACATCATCAGCCATCAGGAAAATGCAAATCAAAACCACAACAAGATACCACTTCACACCCACCAGGATAGCTATAATCAAAAAGATAGATAATAACATGTGTTGGTAAAGATATAGAGAAGTTGGAACCCTCATAAACTGCTGCTGGGAATGTAAAATAGTGCAGCTGCTTTGGAAAATAGCTTGGCAGTTACTAAAAAGGTTAGACATAGACAGGCATGTTCATAGCAACATTATTCATAATAGCCAAAAAGTGGAAACAACCCAAATGTCCATCAACTAATGAATGGATAAACAAAATGTGGCAGATCCAAGTAATAGAATATTATTCAGCCATATAAAAGAATAAAGTACTGATACTTTCCACAACATGGATGAACCTTGAAAAACATTATGCTAAATGAAAGAAAGCCATTCACAAAGACCACATATTATATGATTCTACTTGTATGAAATGTTCAGAAGAGACAAACCTATAGAAAGAGAAAGTAAAGTAGTAGTTGCCTGGGGCTGGGAGAGAGTTGGGGAGAAATGAGGAGTGACTGCTAATGGGTATGACGTCTTTCTGGAGTGATAAAAACGTTCTAAAATTGATTGTGGTGATGGTTGTATAACACTGAATATGCTAAAAACGATTTGATTCTTATCTCATTCAATAAAGCTTTTAAAAAAAAGAGTCTGCCAATTAATTTCATATCATCATTGTTGCGGTTGTTGTTATAGAAAGGGCACACTGAACTACGACTAAGCACTTTTCATTCTCATTTAACCTTTACAAGAATCCTGGGGGTTTAGTATTATTAAGCCCTTTTACAGATGAAGACACTGGGTCCTGGAGAATATAAATAACTTGCACAAGATCACACAGCGAGTAACTGGCAAATCCAAGACTGCTCTTCATCACATCACACTGTTTATTTTTGTGTTGGTATTCCTGAGTTTTCACTTCAGTATTTAGTTCAAGAATGAATATAGAAAAATTTAACAATGTCTAAAGATGACAAACTCAAGAATAGCCTTCACAGGGCATTTATAGTAAAAGAAACACTAAGTAAAATATTGTCTATATGTCTTAATAAGAACTTCACACATAAAACTCTATCCATAACTAAACATTTCATAATAAAACCATCTTCAGTGAATAGACAGTTGCACTAATAAAGAAATTAAAGTTTTACCTGTGATCTCCCTGCAGATTCAGTTTGAGGAGAGTCATTTTTACATTCACACTATCCTCTATAAAAATTAAGCCAATCTAGGCAAGACTAGTGATTAACAATGCAAATTCTATTTTAGGAAACAGGAACCAGAGCCAGAAAACTGTAACCATCTTGAGCTATTCAGAAACCAGCACAGAAAATCTGACTTACTACTTCTGACAAGATAACCCACTGACTAAACAAAACTTAAACATGTTATGCAACGTTCTAAGCTATTCTATAAAACTTAGCTCATTTAATTCTCATAACAACTCTATGAGACTACCTCTTTCACTTACTATGTAACATTAGAATTGCTATAATTTTACCTGTATTATATATAGTTATAATTTAGAATTAAAGATAATTATAACTTTTAAAAGTTATACGTCTCTCAAAATACAAACACTAAGTGGATTTTTTTCTTTATATTCCTCTTAATATTACACATCATCTGATGTCTATTCTTACCACGATTCTGGTTCCATTCATGTGCTTCTCCTAAGTATTTTACATCAAACTGGTATTGTCCATTTATGTAAAAATAATCATCAGTACTAAGAATGACTCCACTTGGATTATCCTCTTGCAAAGTCCTGTGAATGATAAATGTAATTATTTTCATTCATTTTTCTTCTATTTAAATTCTCTCTCCTAATTTTTGAAAGGTCATGATCCGAATTAAAAATTCAAGTATTGTACTTCCCTGGTGGCTTAGCAGTTAAGAATCCGCCTGCCAATGCAGGGGACACGGGTCTGATCCCTGGTCCAGAAATATCCCACATGCCGCAGAGCAACTAAGCCCATGTGTTGCAACTACTGAGCCTGTGCTCTAGAGCCTGCGCACCACGACTACTGAATCCTGCACGCCTAGAGCCCGTGCTCCGCAACAAAAAGAAGCCACCGCAATGAGAAGCCTGTGCACCGCAACAAAGAGTAGCCCTCACGCGCCGCAACCAGAGAAAGCCTGCGCAAGGTAAAGACGACGCAACACAGCCAAAAATAAACAAATAAATTAATTTTTTAAAAAACCGACTTAAAAATTCAAATATTATTATTTAAAAGAATGAAAATATTTTATTATTCAAACAAATCACACTAGAGGGACTTCCCTGGTGGTCCAGTGATTGAGAATATGCCTTCCAGTGCAGAGGATGCAGGTTTGATCCCTGGTCAGAAAACTTAAGATCCCACATGCCGAGGGGCAACTAAGCCTGCGCACTGCAACTACTGAGCCCGCGTGCTCTGGAGCCCATGCGCCACAACTAGGGAGAAGCCCGTGCACCGCAACAAAGAGCCCGCATGCCACAACGAAAGATCCTGTGTGCCACAACTAAGACACGACGCAGCCAAAAATAAATACATAAATAAAATATTTTTTTAAAAAATCACACTAGAAATCCTCTAAGCAGAAGTTTGACTCCCAGGTATACTGACCTGAGGCAAGGCTACTTTGCTTTATATACTATAAAGGTTTGAAAATTAACACATTTTAATTTTCAAGAAAACCAGACAACTGCAAATGCTTCAGAACTCTTATCAGTCACAGGCAATCCCCTCATCTGGTCACTTGATACACACTGATCTACCTTACTCACTCTAAGTGGAAGGTCACTTCCCATTAGGTGAGTACCTTGATAGTCAACCGATCTTCAAAAGTAGATGAAGCTCTTTGCATATTGCCATAAATTTAGTGAGTATGCCAAAAACATCCAAAAATATAATGTTAATAGACTATTAATCTGTTAAATTATACAAAGTTAAGATAGTTTTGCGGGGCTTTTCTGACATCTCTTTCTTTTGGCCATGCTGCACAGGTTGCAGGGGATCTTAGTTCCCCAACCAGGGATCAAAGCTGTGTCCCCTGCAGTGGAAGCGCAAAGTCTCAACTACTGGACCACCAGGGAAGTCTCCCATCTCTCTTTCTTGACTCTGGAATTTATCTTCTATGTAACTGAGATACGTGCAAAAACTAAGCAAACAGAATCCACAGAGACATAACAATGCTACCCTCCTAACCATTTGTAAAATATCACCATTTATCCTCTCCTAAAACATGTATAAATATTCATGAAGTTAAAATATACTTTTAAATTAATTTTTATTGTAGTATAGTTGATTTACAATGTTGTGTTAGTTTCAGGTGTACAGCAAAGTGAATCAGTTACACATATATCCACTCTTTTTTAGATTCTTTTCCCATATTAAAATATACCTTTTGAATTTAATTTTTATTAGCATCTACTAAGTGCCAGGCACTGTTTTAAGCACTGAGCATACATCAGTGAATAAAAACAACAAACATTCTTGCACTCATGGAGCTCACATTCTGGTGAATGCTCACTTGATCCCACTTTTTAAGACTCCTACATTTACCCTCTTCTCCTTTATCTCTAAGTCTTCCCCTCTGACACTTTACTTCGTCTTTTCCCTTTAAACGTGTATACATCTCAGCTATCTTTTAAAATTTTAACCACACTTTAAGGACCCCTTTTTCAACTATTACCCAACTTCTCTCCTTCCCTTAACTGCTTTAGTATAAATGCTTTTTTAAGGTCTTAAGGTCTTCCACCTTCCCAGTGCAACAAAATTGTTTTTCAAGATATCCATTCATGACCTTCTTTCCAATAAATCCAAAAGCTTTTTTCATCTTTCATTTTCCTTGGGCTTGCACGCTAGCTTAATACTGTGGACTGTTCTCTCTGAGAAAACTCAGCTTCTATGTCTCTGTACTTCCCAGTTATTTCTCTCTATTCATTCAAACATTATTAGTAAGCTCTGACTTTGTGACAAGCACTTCTTTCTCTTCCCAATCGCTAACTGTAGCTGCCTCTGGCTCTAAGGCCTCTGAAACCTAGTTCTTCAAACAAATGTCACAGCACTATTACCTTTTAAGGTACAACCTTTTGTTCCAATCTTTCACAAAATGCAATATCATAACTGACTGTAATGTCTATAATATTAAATTAAAATGTTTTTTATTCTTGTGGTCATTAAATCAATGAGAAAGCCTATGTCTACAGAAGAATATACTTAGAAGTGTATGAGTAGAATATGTGGAAATTTATTGGGAAATAAATCCACACTAAGAAAGGACATTAAAAAAAACAACTGAAGGGCTTCCCTGGTGGCGCAGTGGTTGAGTCCACCTGCCGATGCAGGGGACGCAGGTTTGTGCCCCGGTCCGGGAGGATCCCACATGCCGCGGAGCGGCTGGGCCCGTGAGCCATGGCCACTGGGCCTGCACGTCCGGAGCCTGTGCTCCGCAGCGGGAGAGGCCACGACAGTGAGAGGCCCGCGTACCGCAAAAAAAAAACAAAAAAAAACAAAACTGAAAATGAGCTCATCAAGGTATACATGCATACTCACTAATGCTAGATACACCCAGGATCAAATAGAAAAGACCCAGCTAAGAATAGAAGAGAGCAAAGAGTTAAAATTTGGAAGGAAAAGGGAAAAACTGGCAAATAAAATATATTAGATGTAAATATTCTGGAATTTAAAGGAGGGTAGGAGAAAACTTTGAAAACAACACTCTTTAACAAGTGCTACTGAAAACACAACAAAGCTGCCTCTAACCCTGACTCTAGTCTCTCACACCAAGGCATCCACAACATTCCTTGATTACAAAAGGGACATAGATTGGTATTTGAGATAAAACAACTGAGAGCACATTTTGCAAGAAATAAATCACTGAGAATTTGAAGTTCTCTATCAGTGGTTCATCTCATGTTCTTTCTTCAAATCACACATTTATTTCTATAACCTTATTTAACAACATGCTACACTTCCAAATCACCAACTACCCATAGAATTCTTGTGTATAAGACTTCCTTGAATTCAAAATCAATTATGGCCCTTTATCTCTATAATCAAAGCTGAATTCATCTTTCTCCCACTCAAATTAGTTCTCTTCCACATGAACCTATTTCTGTTGATTTCACAAGTTCACAATCTTGGAATCATCTTTAATTTTTTCCTCTATTCTGTCTCTCAAAATATTCTAAGATGAAAGAATTCAATAAAAACTTCTAGAGAAAACAGTGCTATTAGCTACAAAGTTAAAAGAAATTAGTAAACATCTCTATGAACTAAAAGTATTCCTCCTCCTGAAGGGCAGGGAGAGCGCGTGTTACAGGAATGGCTCAGGGCACTCTTTCTTTAAACTCAATTAAACCTCATACCTTGCCAAGAAAGATTTTCCTGATCCTGGAAGCCCTCTGAGAAGAACAAGAACTAGTCCAACATAAGATGATGTCTTCTTTCTTACAACCTGAGAAACTGGAGTTTCTTGTACCTGATAAGCACTTGTTCCCTCTTTATTTCTCCATACCTTTGTTGGGGAAGTATGAGAAATAACCGCGGGTGGAAATGTATAGTTGACAGGTCTCCAGTGTGCAGCTGTGGTTACAACAGGAGCTACAAAGCCATGGTTTCCTTGAAAGAGGTCAAAAGCAGGAATCATTGGATTCCACATTGGTGGAGGGGGAGGAGGAGGCAGCAGTAGAGGGAGAGGGGTAAGTACTGGGCAGTAGTTCACATCCTTCCCCTTTGGTGGCAGTTCAGTCTGTTTGTGTGACTGGAAATTGAATTCTTCAGAAGGTACAAAAACATCAGGGACAGAAGATTTCTGATCTCCACCTGTACCTATTAAACCAAGCCCCAGATTTTGCACAGTAAGGTTTAAAGGAGCCTGAAGTTCGTTGGCATCCAAATCTACAGGGGCTTGAGAGAACTGAGTCTCAACACACACAGATTCTAAAAGCTCTTTCTGAATTTGGTTACTACAATCTATCGTAGTGTCATTTGCTACATTTAAAGAATTACTGAGAAGAGAATCTTCCAGTGCCAATGTGTTATCCTTTGTAAAACTCTTGGACTCATTTGAAAGTGAATGTGAAGTTAAGGAATTTGAACTTAATGTAGAGGCAGAACTCTCTACATTTTCACTGTTCAAATCCATATTTGGGGTAGAAAGAATGGGAGTCGTACTACTTGAATCTGAATTTATAAATGCACTCGGGTTACTCAAATTACTAACATCTCGCAAAGGCAAAAATGAGTATGCATGGTCATCAGGAGAAGAGTTCAATTTCTCAAAAGCATTCTGTATTAAGGAATCTAAGTCTTCAGTTAGCTGCATGTCCAAAAATGAATCCATTTTTGAATCTTCATTCTCTTCTTCAGGAGGACACTTTTCCATTATTTCACATCCCACTGCATCTACTTGGTTTTCAGAAGCAACGAAGCTTTTTGAAGGCGATTCTTCTATTTTAGCGTCAGTGGCTGATAATTCTAATAGACAATCCATGGCATTTTCAACTGTACAACAAGAACGACAACAAAATATATCCGTATGTATTGAAAACAGAAAAATATAATTTAATTAAAATCCACATAAAATTATACTAGAATTCACACTGAATGAAATACAGAGAAATTTATAAATATTCAAGTCATTCCTTAAATTAATATTTTACTAATATATCAGTCTGTATTAGTGAAAGGTTTAAATTATGAAGACATGCAATGTTACTTTCAAACAAACAGTACTAAACTAGGCTAATGAACTGCCATCAAGTAGATATTCTCTGATGAATTTACGGATTAAAAGTAAAAATATCTGTAATTATATACATTAGGGTTGTTTATACAGATCAGCTGATTTACTCAACAAATACTAACCTACTGCATGTCCTTCTAAGTATGAAGTATTTTAAGTACTCTCCTAGTAAATGTAATTTGTATATATGGTCCATGCTATGAATTTCACTTAATACAAAAAATATGTATGAGCATGTACTACGTATCAGACATACTTTGTACAAAGATGAGTAAGACAGCTTTTAACTACACTCAAAGGATTTTTGCAGTCTAATGGAGGCAATTACAGATAATTATGTTAGAAGACAATCACACTATAATATAGGTTAAATAATGCACATTTTTTATAATATACAAATGCCTTAACAGCCTTATAGGAGAGTAAGGAAAGATTTCACATAAGGTAATATGTGAACTGGGAGTCGAAGATCAAAAAGAAACTTGTCAGACACAGAGGGAAAGGCAAAGCCAGTCTTGAAAACACAAAGCATGTTTAAGGTATTAAGAGAAGTTTGTTGGAATGCGAGTACACAGTAGTATGGTGGGTAAGACGAGATAAAACTGGAAAGGGAAATTGGGAAGGGTCCTGTATTTCATGGTAAGAAATATCAATTTTATTTTCTAAGGGAACTTGAAGGGAAACTACCTGCCATAGCATTTGGGCTAGATGCTTTGTCATCTCACTTAATCTTCAAATTATACTATGAGTTACAGTATTCCTAGCAAATAGATGAAGGAAATGAAGTTCAGAAAGTACATTAACTTAGCCCAAGTCACACAGATAGTAAGTGACAGAGCCAGGACTGGTATGTCTGACTCCACTGCTGAGCTCTTTCC